GTCGTCGTCGTCGTCGTCGTCAAGTCTTGCAATTGTGAGCACCAGCGCCTTGGCTCAACTATATAGAGAAAAGAAATGAGACTGGAGGGCCGGCTCCGATAGTAGTCCACATAGTTCCAATGCTTTCCATTGAGTTTGAGACTCGGTTATTGAAGCGCGTAGAATCAGTCTGCGTGCTTGGAAGACTGCTCGCATCACTTAGCAAGCTACAAAATGCCCGAAGCAGACAAGGCGTTTTGCAGGATAGTTCTGGTGAAGAGACGTCCGTGCACGGCAATGAGCCTAGACGTTCGTGGTCGCACGACGTCAACTGGTCGCCTACTCACTCCTTGACTGCGGCGAAGACGAGCCGAACGTTGGAGGTATCGGTGGCTTGAGTCAAGTGGGGGTATATGCTGAGCCTCGCCCTATTTGTCTGCGTAAACCTCCAAAGGATGTATTTTGCCGCCTTGTTCACGTCTGCACCTCCGCTATATTCCGGAAAGAAGTTGGCAAGAGGTTGCCGAGGTATTTTCTGCTTGAAAATGTCGATCTTGTTCAAGAAAAGGATGATCGATGTCCTCAAGAACCAGCCTGCGTGCGGCAAGACAATGGATACGTTTGCGATGAGCTATGCAAGCACTCGCCGAATCAGACACTTGCAGCGACTTACGGGAGTTGACGACACTCTCGAACAGGACCAGGCTTTCTGCCATCCTATTTTGTCCGCTCTCCTCCAACAGTACCTGATCATACTCGCTCAGCGCGACGCAAAAGATGATGGAGGTGACTGCTTCGAAACAGTGGATCCATTTTTTCCGTTCTGATCTTTGCCCTCCAACGTCGAAGAGATGAATGGACAATTGTCCCATGTTAAAGCGCGTCTCAGTGATGCCCGTCGTCTTTGACCGCGCTCTCAGCACGTCGTCTTCGTTCGGTATGTAGTCCGGCGATGCTATCCGTGATACATTGTTGAAGAAACTGCGTCCGAAGCGTGCGTGCGGTCATCTGTTCAGCGCTGCGCTTCGTCTCGCCTCTCTTGCATCGAGCGACTCACTATGGCGCGCTGTCCATGAGATAAAATTCGCTGCTTCGGTCCACTACCGTAGCTACGATCGGATCTGCCCACAAGGCTTCCACAGCCTTTGCCATCGCTGGCTCCAGAGATGTGTTCGGGTCCGCATCCACCCGGTATTGCAAGATTAGCTCTGCCGATTCCTGCTCGAGCCGAGCAAGAGGCTCTGGCTCAGTAAGCTGCGGCTGACCCCGTGCGTCCAACGCTCTCAGGAGTGCCACGTCACCACTCACCCTATTGTCAGGCACCTCAGGTTCGAGCTTGAACTTGCGCAGCGCTAGGACTATCGCCTGCGCGCTGTCCACCAAGTTCTTGATGACTGTTAATCTGTACAACATCAACTCTTCCGGTGTGTATCCGTTTTGATGGATGATCTTCATCTGTTTCACCACCGTCGACTTGCCCGACTCTCCTGCACCTGCGAGTGAGGTGAAGGCAATCGTGGCATGAGCACTTATCCAGCTGCCCGCGCGAGTCGTGGTGCTGGGAGCCATCCGACCGCTGCACCTGCACTCATCCTCCCGCCACGGCCCGTTCGCAGCTATCGAACAGCGCCAAGCCTCCTCTCCTTCATGCGCCCATGTAAAGTCTTGGGCTATGATCTATGTCCGGTTTCTTCCCATCGACTCTCAAGCAGCGCCCATGCAGCACATCAGCAAACTCACCCAGCAACAAGATCTTGCATTCCTTTTTGAACTTTCTGCTATCCTCTTCGATCTGCTTGTCGATGTTGGTACTCCTCTCCTTTGCCTCCTTCTCCTCTGTGGACGAGAAACAATTGCCCATGACGCCTGCTCTGTGACGACCAAGACCGAGCGTGCGTGTGTCGGAGACGTGCGGCGTGCTAGCTTCAGAGCACTCGCAATA